TTGAACGCTACCGTGGACATGGGGGCGCCGCAGCGATAGGCGCTGGAAGACTTTCAGGTCGCGAACAGAGAGCTTAAACTCACCAGAATGGCCGAACGGCGACTTGGCGTGATCGACACGCATAGTGTTGGACTGAGTATTGAGACTCCAAATATCAAGTCCCAATGAAAAGTCCCCCAGGGCGAGTACGTGCCTGCAAAACGTCTGAGTCGTGAAACAAATGGAGACTCACCGACTATCCGGTGCCCACATGCAGGCAGCTAGTCCTCTAAACCCTTGCTCAATGGTACATTTCCAGTCAGGATTATCGATGGGTGACATAATTACGATAGACCCGTGTTCGTTATGTGATGCCATGAGGAGTCTCGAGTCAGGAGACCAGATGAGCACAGAGAAACCTCTGCCGCTGCTTGCCAGGCCTGGCAACGCTATACTAGCAACAACGTTGTCCTCAGAGTCGTGAGAAGACATCTTTCGGACCACGATGCGGGAGCCAGAACAACCTGCCAGGGTCCAACAAAGCTTCCCAGTTTGCCAAAAAGAACCCACCAGTCTTGATAGCAGTAGCCAAATAGGCGCTATCGGGTGACACTGTCGCCAGATGCACCGGATTGCATTCATAACGATTGATGATCGTAGTCGGTCCCGGCAGGAGCATCTCAATGAGGAGGTCAAACGCTCTATACCCAAGTTGATGTTATACACCTTTTGAAGGTCTATTTAAATTTGTAGTGAAATCAATTCTGTCGGCCGGGGCACCTATGCCACAACCCCAAGATACGCTCTAGAACAACCACTTTCACGGGGGCACGCGATAGGAATTCGACTTCGTCTGCGCAACCAAAGTCACTTAGATTCCCACGAATTTTGGAAGTGAATTCTGTCGTTTCCGCCTGGGGCAGATATGCCACACCGAGGGCGGCGCTTGTGTTGCAACCACCACGGCAGTCCAAGATGCCCATGATGATTCACAATACTCATCGCCATCAGAAAACGGCAATAGTGCTGTCATGTGTGTGTTCCAGGATAGTGGCATAGCTGCCCCGAACTATAGTGATTGCGGATCGACTCTTATGAAAGCGAAAGATAGATGATGATGATGATGTTACAAACTCGACACTGTGAAAGATTGTTAGATTCAGATATAAGATATAAGTGCGTGCATTGTAACAACTCTGTACTGTACATCGCTCCTTTATGAGTACGTAGCAACAACAAGAGCATCAACAATGGACTTGACTCATGCTGTGTCATCGTATATCCCTCCGAAGTGAGCAATAATCAAGTGACTACTGCTGGAAGAGGAATC